AGTGCAGTGGCAGCTTGTGTACAGGGTCAGCGACCAGCGGCATCACTGTGTTGGCACAGGATGGAACCAGGCTGATGCTTCTTCAGATCCCACCACACCTTTTCAATTACTCCTGTTCCTGGGCCAGGCACGTGTGAGCTCAGAGGTGAAGCACACAGCTCCTTCTGCAGGATACCCACACGGGCAATGCTGAGCAATGAGAGGCAGATGGGGGTTCCAGGTGGTCCCTATTTTCCCCCATTTCATGTCTAGATTTTCTTTTCAACTGCTGGCCCACAGTGACTTTAGGACCACACAGAAACCAAGAGGATACTTTTACATAAATAAGTAAACTTCCTCAGCAGCTCATATAATTACATAAGGCCTAATTCTTATAATAAATATCCGCATTTATCATGGTGGTTCTGATTCCTGATTGAACCCTGAACCTTGAACCCTGAGAGGGATCAATTATCCATGCTTGAGATACAAAGAGGTTTTAAAGACAATATAGGGTTTATAAGTCTTTCAAAGAAGAAATGGCTCTTAACACATATTTGTGTAAGGAGTATCAGTGTTTGCCAATCTAAGCAACAGACAGATATGCCTGCTGAACTCATGTTATCTTCTTTGGCAAATTCTAATAGTCAAACTCCAAAGGACCAGTCCAAACCTTCTCTGTTCTTCCCACCTTGAGTATGCTTTCCCCACCTATTATTTAGGGGAGGCATAAAGTAATGGCTTTTGAACTGTGGTGCTAGAGAAGACTCTTGAGAGTCTCTTGGACTGCAAGGAGATCCAACCAGTCAACCCTAAAGGAAATCAGTCCTGAATATTCATTGGAAGGACTGATGCTGAAGCTGAAACTCCAATACACTGGCCATCTGATGCAAAGAACCAACTCATTGGAAAAGACCCTGATGTTGGGAAAGATTGAAGGCGGGAAGAGAAGGGGATGACAGAGGATGAGATGTTGGATGGCATCACTGACGCAATGGACATGAGTTTGAGTAGGCTCCAGGAGTTTGTGATGGACAGGGAGGCCTGGTGCACTACAGTCCATGGGGACACAGAGAGTTGGACACAACTGAGCGACTGAACTGAACTGAACTGAAAGTAATGGCTATGGATCTAATTTAAAAAAGGAGGAATGGGATGTAGCCAAGATGGCAGAATGGGAAGTGCCTGAACTCATCTCTTCCCACAGGCATACCAAAACTGCAACTATTTACAGAGCAACCATCCATGAGAATGATCTGAAGACTTGTAGAAAAGATTTCCCCAACAAAAGATAAAAAGAATGGACTACAACAAGATAGACAGGAGGGGCCAAGATGTAGTGTACGCAGGACCCATATACCTGGGTAAGAAACCCATCAATGGGAAGCATATCACAATCACAGAGGTCCTCCCCAAGGAGCGAGAGGTCTGAGCCCCACACTGTGCTCTGCGGCCTGGGGTGCTGCAGCAGGGAGTCCCCAGAACTTCTGCTTTGAAAGCCAGTGGGGCTTATGTTCAGGAAAGTCAGAGAACTTAGGAAACAGACTGCTCTTAAAGAGCATGTGCAGAGGCTGTAGCTTGAAAAAAGCCTGGGTCAGACCTACTTGCTATTCTTGGAGAGCCTCTTGAGAGGCAGGAGGCACCTGGGACTTCACTTGAGAATGAAGACACTGGTGGCCTCTACTTGGGGGAGCTCATTCTGCTATGATGTCAGCACTGGCAAGTGCCATGTGAGAATCGTTCCCATAGCCTATTAGTACTGGTGACTTACCTGCCCACTAGCACCCGCTCCACAGCCCCCAGGCTGCACAGCCAACCGCTTGGGGAGCCTACCACATCCTCCAGTGGGCCCCCAACATGAGGGAGAACCTCACAACTAAACAAGTTTGGAGCCAGCCTTGCCTCCCAGAAAGCTCACAGTAATTGACCCGGCTCCATCAGAGGAGGTGCCCACAGCCCAGATGGGGGTACCCCTAGAGTACATAGCGCTGGTGACCAGAAGGGAAAGTGGTGTTGGATCCCATAGGACATCTCCTACATAAAACCACATCTCTAAGATCAGAAAATGTAATTGACCCACCTAGTACAGGAAAAGAAACACAGAGAATTAGGCAAAATGAGGATAGAGAAATATGCTCCAAGTGAAGGAATAAGACAAAACCTCAGAAAAAGAACAAAAGTAGAGACAGCAACCTAACTGATAAAGAGTTCAAGGTAATGATCAAAAATGATCATTTTTTGATCATCAAAAAAGATGCTCAATGAACTTCAGGGAAGAATGGATGAAAACTGGGAGAATTTTAACAGAGTTATAAAATATAAACAAAAACCAAACAAAGCTGAAGAATATACTAACTGAAATGAAAAATACACTAGAAGGAATCAACAATAGATTAGATGATACAGAGGAATAATCAGTGATCTGGAAGAGTAGTGGAGATCACCCAAGCTAAACATAAAAAAGAAAATAAGGATTAAAAGAAATAAGAATAATTTAAGAAACCTCCGGACCACATCAAGCATACTAACATTGCAATATAAGAGTCCCAGAAGGAGAAAAGAAAGAGAAAGGGGCAGAGAACTTACTTAAAGAAAATAATAGCTAAAAACTTCCCTAACCTAGGGAAGGAAGTAGACATCCAGAGTTTCGAACAAGATGAACCCAAAGAGGTCCACATCAAGTCATACTATAACTAAAATGACAAAAAAAAATGTATTTCTAAATCACTTTGCTGTAGGGCAGAAACTAGCACAACACTGTAAAACAACTCTACTCCAATAAAATAAATTTTTTAAAATATATAAAAAATGTTAATCTAAAAATTAACAGCAAGAGAAAAACAACCAGTTATGTATAGTAAGCTGACATTTAGCAGAGACTTTGCAAGCCAGAAGGGCATGGCACTATATATTCAAAGCGATGAAAGGAAAAAAACCTACAACTGAGAATACTCTTCCTGGCGAGGTTATCATTCAGATCTGAAGGAAAGATAAGGAACTTTACAAACAAGTAAAAGCTAAAAGAATTCAGCACCGCTAACCCAACCTTACAAGGAATCTTAAAGGGACTTCTAGTGAAAAAGAAAAGGCCACAAGTAGAAATGTAAAAATTATGAAAGAAAAATCTCATGCGTAAAGGCAAACATATATGAAAGGTAGCAGATCACTTATAAAGCTAGTAGAAAGGTCAAAACACAAAAGTAGTAAAATCATCTATATCCACAATAAGTAGTTAAGAGATACACAAAACAAAAAAATGTAAAACATGATGTCAGAAATATTAAACATAACAGGGGAAAATAAAAATGTAGGGATGTTAGAATGTGTTCGAACTTAAGAGGTCACTAATATATGTGTGTGTGTATACCCACATATATTACACACACACACACACACACACACACGCACACCACACACACACACACACACGCACACACACATATGCATGCTCAGTTGTGTCTGACTCTTTGAAACTCTATGGACTGGAGCCTGCCAGACTTCTCTGTCCACGGGATGCTGCAGGCAAGAATACTGAAGTGTGTTGCAATGCCCTCCTCCTGCGGATGTTCCAGACCTAGAATCGAACTCATGTCTTTGACGTCTCCTGCACTGGGGAGCAGTTCCTTACCACCAGTGTCACTGGGGAGACCCATACATATATAAAACGTGAGGTCATCAATATAAATGTGTGTGTGTATAGTAACCACAAACCAAGAACCTATAAAGTTCCACGTGCTCAGTCACTCAGTTCTGTCTTACTCTTTGTGACCCTGTGGACTGTAGCCCACTAGGCTCCTATGTTCACGGGATTGTTTAGGCAAGAATACTGGAGTGGGTTGCCATTTCCTCCTCCAGGGGCTCTTCCGACCCAGGGATCAAACTTGCATCTCCTGTGTCTCCTCCATTGGAAGGTGGATTCTTTACCACTGAGTGACTTGGGAAGCCCCCAAACCTATAATAGATCCATATAAAAAAACAGAAAAAAATCTAAACACTCAATATAGGCATCAAGTCACAATGGAGGAGAACAAAAAAAGAAAAAAATACTACAAAAGAACCAAAGCAGTGAATGGAAGGGCAATAAGAACACACCTATCAATAATTATGTTAAATGTAAACAGACAAAACGTTCCAATTAAAAGACATTTGCCATCCTCAGCCACATTTCCAGCATTCAAAATAAAATTATTTCCTGAGCACCTACAATGTAGCAGGCTTGGGATGCATCAAGAAACAAAACAGAGATCCCTACCGTCATGGGGCTTCCATATCAGGGACATATTCACCAAACTCAGCACTTTCAAACAGAACCAAGAAACTTCCCTGCCCCGTGCTCCTCTGCCTGGCCTTCCCAGTTAGCGATGTCACCCTTCACCCAGGGTCTTCTTCTCCATCTTACCCTCACTTCTTCCGAATCCTGTCAGGCTTACACTCATCTCCACTGTCAACAGTCCCCACTGCTCAGGATACCCAGGATTCTGCTACTTGACCCAGCGTCTATAATGAGACTTATCTTCTACTGTACCCCGTGTCCCAGCTACATCCAACGAACCCACCATTGTTCACAGCCATGACCCTGTTCTTCAGCACGTTGGTTCTCCTGCCTCAGCCTTCTCTCCTTTTCTTGGCCTGGTAAACCTCTACGCATCCTCTACGGACTAGCTTAACTGACATGTCTTGTTGGAAGACTTCATCTATTCAAGAAGACAGTTATTTGCTCCTTCCTCCAAATCAGTTATGATACTGTACTGATCTGCTTACCTGTTTGCATCCCATCCAGACTGAGAACTCACTGAAGTCAAGGATGATGCCGTCCATCTGGGACCACCCCAGGCAGCCCCTAATACCATGCCTGGCGTGCAGGAGGTGCTTAAATAAACAGCTGTTCAAGGTGGGAGCCCTCTTGCATTAGAGGTTTGGCATGAGAGCCTTTTGCTCACCAGTGAGAATCCCTAACTCAGCAGAAAGCATTTTTCCTTCTAGAAACCGGAGGTGCTAGGTTGAGTAAGATAATCACTCACCTCACTCCTGGAGGCGACAGCCCGGTGCAGCGGGGTCAGCCACATGTTGTCCTTGGCATTCACACGAGCTCCTGGAACCAAACAGCACAGGTTAGATGCATCAGGCCGTCAGGGGCAAGTTCTGCTGACGCGAAGTCAGAAGCTGTGTCTTGTGCTCTTGTTTGCCTGGTACAAACAACACATTTTGGTTTTTTTTCTTTGTATCAATCACGTGCTTTCTGGCCAGACAGGAGGCGATACTGAGTCCCGAAGAAGCAAGATCATGAGTTTAGACTGTCACAGGAATTGGGTTAAGACGAGAAAAGAAATGACAGGGTCTCCCTGGGGAGGAGATAGTTTTGAGAAAGCTGAGATCCTCCAGGACTTTAGAAATACAGGTTCTGAAGAATGAAGAACTTCTCAAGGGTGTGGATATATGTATGTGTGTTCCTGAATATAATATATATTCCTGAATATAAACTATATAATCACATTCATTATTTCATTTTCAGTCGTTAAGCATATTTATCTCACAGGGCAGACAACATCCTTCTTGACAAATTATTAGGGATGAGCAGTCTTTTAACAGATGTATATTATCCTAGAAGCCGGTGAGATGTCAAACGCATTTGTTAAGTTGGGTGCTGATGAGTCTTGATCTGGGCTAAAGGGATTAGCAGAAATCCATTTTATCCAAGACCCTAATTGTTCCTCTGGAACAAGCCACGTATTTCGGAAGGAAGAAGCCAGCTTCCATGGGAGCTTTTGAACTGACACCACATGAAGACTCTGTGGGCTGTTCACAACTCCCTCATGCGATGGGGTGGGCAGATAGGGCGAGACAGCCATGTCTCCTTGGCCGAGCTAGTTTGAACCAGCGCTGTGAAAATTGCCTGTTACTACAAACAGCAAAAGACCTATCTTACTTCATGTTTTCGACCATATGAGTAATACATGAACGTATTCTTCTTTTAAAAGATAGATTGTTATAGATTTAGGAAAAGTCCCTTGAGAGTCACTCCCAATGCTGGACTTTCTTTAGTCCCTGAAGAAAACTACTGCTCTGAGTTGGTACATGAGATTCTGATTTATGTCTTGTATACAAATATGTGTACCTAAAAAAAAAAGTGTACCTATAGAAAATATTTCCAATATTTCACTGTAAACAATGCTGCTGTGAACATCCATAAAATGACTCTATGCAAGTGTGCAAGTATTTTTCTAGGATACATAATTAGAAACGGATCTTCTGTGTCACTGACCATGCACTCTCGGTTTTAATAGTTTCAACCTTCAAAGTGTGCCAATTTATACACTCACAGTGTATGACTGCTTCAATTCCTCACACTTTCATCAATACTTGATATTATCAGTTATTTATTATTATTATTATTCAAGGAATAGGCATAACAGTCTCTTTGAGTTCTCCAGAGCTGGGGCCACCACTCAAGTGGAGGACGGTAACTTCAGGCTGAGCACAGATTCCTGGAGCGCTGCCCAGTGGCCTCAGCACCAACCAATCGGAAGGAAGTCACACAGCCTGCAGCCCTCATTCCAAATGTTGCCTTCCTCTCCTGGGGACCGGGGATGACCTATCAGGCCTCCTGTTTGGCCCCTGTCTGTCTCGTCACTGACTGGGTCCAACAGTTTTGGGCTAAACTGCTGTTACTACAGGGGCTTCCCAGAGGCACTAGTGGTAAGGAACCCGTCTGCCAATGCAGGAGACACAGGAGATGTGGGTTCAATCCCTGGGTTGGGAAGATCCCCTGGAGGAGGAAATGGCTACCCACTCCTATATTCTTGCCTAGAGAATGCCATGAACAGAGGAGCCTGGTGGGCTACAGTCCAAAGGGTCCCAAAGAATTGGATACAACTGAAGTGACTGTGCACATCAGTTACTTAAAATATTGCAAATCTGATTGGAAGAAAATGCTCTTACATTTCTGTGTTGCCTATTTAACAATGAGATTGGGCATCTTCTAATAGGTTTGCTTATTAGCCACTTGTAATTCATTCCCTGAGAACCGTTTATTTATATTCTTTGCCTATTCCAATTTTTCTTATAATTTATATGTATATATTTATATTGTAGTTACTATTATTACTGTTTATGTATTCTAAAATTCTTAAAAAAAAAGTTTTATGTTTAGATCCAAATGTGGCTCTTAATATCAAAATTCTTTGAAGGAGAAAAATGCCGCTGAGCTTGCTGGGTAACATAAAGCAACCTTCACCCCCATGTGTAACAAACACCAGTACTGTGTCCATGCAGCTTTGGACTCACTTGAGAAACTGAAAGATAATTAGAAATCTAGGGAGTAGATTCAGCCACTGTGTAAGCCTTCCATTTCTCCACTAATCCTCCTCCACAAGGTTGAAGAGGCAGCTGCCAGGGAAACCACCTCTCCCAGAACAACAAAATTATTATGACAAAAGCAGAGTTATCTGAACAGGGACGCGTATTTCATCAGTGTCATCCTGTGAGACTGGCTTCCTCATCCTCTTCCTCTATCAGAGAGTCTTGTTTACATGTCAGAGGGAGATGTCGGATGGTTTGAGCTGAATATTTATAACTGATTTTTCTAAAGGAAGCTTCATGTTATTTACCTGCCTGTCAGGCACCATTATGTGCTGAAGGACACAGAGTCAGCATGTCTAATGATTTAAAGGCAATGCTTTTCCTCCAAGCACATTTTTAAATTTTTTTTTTTTTAAGCACCAGGTTATACTGATTCTCCAGAAGCCAAGACCTAACTAAAAGTTATCAGGCATGAACTGTAATTACAAATTAAACATTTTTTTTAATCTTATCCCTACTACGGCTTGATTTTATTTTCATAAATAACAGGAGTAAAGAGAACTCTGAGCATATTTTCAGAGGCAATATTTCTGTTCTTTTCACCGTGTCATTTAGAAACAAGTAGGACAAAGAAAAAAGAAAGATCAAATGACTAAAAATCTTACAGGCCAGCGAGAACAATTGATTCTTAAGCCAACATTTGACTTTTAATTATAGAAATAAACATGAAAGAAAAATCACATGAAATATGATTATAATACAGTGAGATCAGCTTGCTATTGATTTTTTAAAACAAACAGACCAAATCTCATTATAGCCCAGGAGCACTGTCCTGCAAAGCAATGGCCTTAGAAGAGTATATGATAATTCCAAATATGTGGCAGTTGCTCAAAACATTTTAAAAACTCCCCTTAGAGTTGCCTTTGGGGCCAGTTTATATGCCTATCAGCAAATGGCCCATTACTTTATAATCACACTACACTGGAGACCAAAATCAGCATTGCCTCATTTAATTACCCCTCTTTTTCTAGACCTCCCCCAAAAATCAAATCCAACCTCAAAGGATGAATATTTGTTATGCATGAAAGAATCAAAAGAATGACCTGCCACCAGCTCTGGAGGCAATTTGCACTGGGAGTGGTAATCACATTTTGAAAAATCACAGGAAATAGTGTCATAGGAATACCACTTGTTTGGTGGCCTACATTCTAATTTTTTTTTTTTTAATTAATAGTTACAACTCACAAACACTCACATATTACAGGGTGTGTACTCCAGGTTTTCTTCCTTCAGCTCAGAACCCTCTCTCTAACCCTTGTGTGTTTCCAGAATTTCTCTGCAAGGTCTTGTTACTATGTTTCTCTGTGTGCTCCACTCCCCATATCTCAACACTAGTCTCTTAACTCTTAGCCACTGATTGGTTCACACTGATCTCATTCATACATCTCCAGGCAAATGATTTAGCAAGCTCTTGACCTTCTCTCTGCCTTAATCCTGACTAGGTCAATTCCAAAACAGAAGCTAAAAGCAGGTGGTGAAAATAAAGCCAGAAGCAGTTATAAGAAGAGGAAATCTGCAAGGCCTGAATTCCTTGCTGTCTACTCAGACACACTCAGGGTTCCATCTGCCTAGCTAACAAAAGATAATGTCAGTAGGAATTTAGTGGGCTGGAGTTACACTATGCTCTGTAAGTTAATACAACAATGGAGAACACAGCTGTAATGGGAGATTCTGGCAAAGTCAAATGATTTGTCCAACATGGGACTCATTAGCACCTCATTCATTATTAAACTGGAAAACAATTTGGTTGGATTCCCTAAAGGGTCAGCTGCCAGATGTAAGTCAAGAGATGAAATCACTGCTCTTGCAATGATATTTGTTTAGGAATATACTACACAAAATGAATAAAGGACCTTTCAGGGAAATTAAAACCATGACAATTTCAAGAGTTTGCTAAGTCTCCACAGTTGAGTAAAATTCCTAAAGAACCTTCACAATTCTCTTCTGTATCCTAAGTCTTCCTAATTTGATGAGGGAAGGAGGAAAAATTCCATAGCATGTGCCACCTGAAATTATACTAGAGGCATTAATAGCTCAGTGATTCTTCCAAGATGACTGGGCTAAGGAAACAGGAGTACAGATCAAAAGATACAGAACAGTTTCTCCTGGCTCTGAATGAGCCCTGTTTAAAAGAGGAGGGTGCCCCATGCCCACATAAAGGAGAGGTGAAACCAAGTCTTTTGATTATCAGACCCTAGATGCCTGGGAAAAAATAGATGGGTCACCTCCATGTTGAAGAATTAAAACCTTCCCCTTCAAGTGTAGAAAAACAAACAAACCAACACGCAAAAAAGCATAGCTGGGGATATAAGACAAAGTTCTAAATTTGCACAGTCATGAACTAAACATTCCTCTGAGAACCCTGAGCTGTGTCTTAAAACAACACTTAGTAGGTAGGTAGAGCTTGTTGGGATGATTAGGTGTCATACCACGAAAGTCTTTATTTGGCACCTCCACCAATTCTGCTTATAATTTTCCATGGGCCAAATTTCTATTGCTGGGGCAACCAGCCAGGTGTGCACTGGCTCTGAGCCACAGATGGTGCCAGTGCCAAGCACTACATACTTGTTTGGAATACTGCCTTGAAACATCTTCAGAATTATCAGAAGGAAGGCCTGTTCTCAAGAGCGCAAAAAACACTCCAAGAATTCTAACCTAACCTTCATGAGACTGTCAGGAGCATGGAGCACAAGCATTGCAAGGCATAGAATACTTGTTTCCTGAGAAAAGCTACCTCAAGAACACAAACACAACAAAAATAAGGGCAGTGTGAATCTTCCTTGTGCATCACAGCACCATTCTTTTTCACAGTGTTCTCCACACCTGTTATCAGTTAACCAATACTGATAATCAGATAATAATCTGATTACAATAATCAGATAACCAATACTGTTATCAGTTCCTGTCTTTGCATAGCTGACTTTGGAATTCTACAATTTCCCTTCACTACTGCAAACAAAGGCGAAACCTTATTATTGGCCTTTTGCATAGTCTCTGGGCAGCAGCATTTCCTCCAGATTTGAATCTTCCCAAACCAAAAGAAGGAAGAAGAAAGCCAGCTAGCCTGCGTGCAATCCACATGGAGACTCATGCACATGCTTAGATCCATTCCAGGGATTTGCCCAGCAAACACTCAGAGGAGAAAGCTCATGCTGGTTTTGGGTGAGATGTACCGAGTAAAGGTGCTTATGTGTTGTCTAGTCATGCAATCGTGTCTGACTCAGTGAAATCCTATGGACTGTAGCCGCCAGGCTCTTTGTCCATGGGGATTTTCAGGCTGGAATACTGGAGTGGGTTGCCATTTCCTCCTCCAGGGGATCTTCCTGACACAGGGATCGAACCCACGTCTTCTGCATCTCCTGTACTGACAGGCAGATTCTCTACCACTGAGGCACCTGGGATTCCCACCAAGTATATAGGTTTCCCAAAATGAAAACGCTGGTATTTTAAAATCTGGTGAAATATTTAAAATACATAGAAAAATAACGAGAACAGTATCACAAAGACCAGTATGCACACAACATGTGCTGGCCATATATTTACTCCCAATTTTTAAAAAATGAAGTATTTTACAGAATTACTGTCTCTTTTATACCCTCCCCTGAAAACATCTCTCACTCTATTTGCCTCCTCAGAGGTAACTACTATCCAGAAACTGATGTTTCATTTTTTCCCATATTTTTATGTTTTGATTACATTATAGTCATGTATCTAACCTAAACTCCATGAGGTTAAGTTAAACAAACTAGTACTGTTTTGCAATGCAATTTAAAAATATGTAAATACACACACATATCTATGTGTATACATGTAGACTTTAAGGAATCCATTTTCCTTCTTTAATTTTTAATTTTTTTACAGTGAAAGAAACAGATATCCAAATGTACAGAATGCATCCACAATCCTGGGCCTGACTACTTGTTAAGATGGTCAGGAGTCAGACTTCCAAAGCAACATAAAAGTTTTAGTGGAGAAGTCATTTTTCAATAAGAAGAATGTCTTGTATTGTCCCCTGTCTACTGATAAAGTCAATGATCAAATAAATGTCCACAGCACAATAAAGAAACTTTGGGTTTTTTGTAGTAGTCAATCTAGTAAGTTGGTTATTTAAATTTTCACATGCCATTGACTTTTAAGTACAGCTGATATTTACCTGACAGAATCAGGAGTTCAATTATCTCTGCATCTCCCAGAAAGGCAGCCACATGAAGTGGGGTTCGCTTCTCAGAATCCTGAAACGATGGCAAAGATAAACAAGTCAGTACCGGCCAGAGCTGCCTTTGGTAGATACAGTATGACATGTCACTTACTCTGAGGTTAATGCTTGTGAGATCTGAGAGTGAAGACCAAACATCTATTCAGATGAGTGCTGGTTACACACTTCTCTCAGCATCTCCCCCAGTCACATGAAGGAAAGATCCCCATTTCTGTGTCTGTATGTTGTATTTGCCTCATTGCTCCTTCTATTAGAGCCCAGCTCAGGTCAAGGATGGCCCATCATGCACTGGATGATGAAATAATTTTTCTTTAAATCTTCAGTATGGGTAAAAAAATTTCAATGCTTCTACCTATCTTAACAGTACAGTTCAAAGCTTTCAATGACTTATTTTCTCTCTAAGAAAACTTAAACTATTCACAAGGACATGAAATGTAAATATAATTATTCGCCATTACTGTTGCTTAGACCACTTCCCATTCATGTAATAATACTTATTGAATGCCTACTGTGTGTCAGGAACCAGATTCTGGGGACAGAGGGGTAACTATGAGTTCATGCCTTCATGAGACTTACAATCAAGTGGGAAGGCTGATAATAGTCATGTAACCCAGTGACACATGAAATCCTTTCAGATGGTGATAAAGACTATAACAAAATTAAAACAGGATGAGATCCAGTGACTGTGAAGATGAGAATAAGATTCCTTAGGGTGGTTGCATAAGGCCTTTCTGAGGGTGCTGACACTGAAGCTAAGAGCTGAGGCAGATATTACTAACTCTGTTGTACAGATGACAAACTGTGGCTCAAATAAATTAAGAAATGTCCTCAAGACTCCATAGGTATATAGCAGAGTCAAGATTAGACCTTCACCTGTCAGATTCCAGACTAAGTCCTTTGCATGGCATTCAACATATTGTGCTGTGAGGCAGCATGATAACAGGCAGGGGAAAAAAATACTGCTTCCCCATCTGTAAACTGGAGATAATACCTCCCTAGAGGACTGATAAGAGCATTCAAGACAACGTAAGTAAATAAGTCCTCAGCAGGTATGAGGCTTGGTACACACGCAGCAAGTGCTCCATGATGGCCACTATTGTCACAGCACAGACAGTTGTGGGATACTGTAACCCAGAAGGACCCTATGGGAACTTCCCCATCCGTGTCCTCTACCTGCCTCGTTTGTAGAAAAACTTTAGCTTCCAAGGCTTTCCCCTAGTTCCAAAGAACACATTTAAGCAAAATGAGAAAATGCACAAAGAAAAGAGAAAATAACACAGACATTAAACAAAATCTAGGACCTTGAGTTCCTCCTCGAGGGCTATAGATAATATCCTGAGCCACATCCTTAGTTGTTTTGCAGATACTGAAACCTCCAACAAGAGGAAGAAGTTAACTGTGTGCTGACATAAGCACGTAGATCCCAGACAAGTTGGAACCAGAATGTTGAGGATGCTGACACCCAATTACCTCACCACCAACCAACCAGAAGAATGGCCACAAGCTGATCATATACCCTCAAGCCCTCTCCATCACCCTGACTTTAAAAACCTTTCCCTCAAAGCCATCAAGGAGTTCAAGAGTTTTGAGCATCAGTCGCCCATACTCCTTGCTTGGCCTTGCAATAAACGCTGCATGTTCCTTCAACACAATCTGGTATCAGGAGATTGTCTCTACTGCACGCAGGTGAGCAGATCCAAGTTTGGTTCAGTAATATCTTCCCTCGAAGACTGAGAACTCTCGTAGGGTACAGAACTCTCTCCCTAGAGCAGCACCATCCTAGGTGAAGAAGTGAAGTGAAGTGAAAGGCACTCAGCCGTGTCTAACCCATTGCAACCCCATGGACCATACAGTCCATGGAATTCTCCAGGCCAGGACACGGGAGTGGGTAGCCTTTCCCTTCTCCAGGGGCTCTTCCCAACCCAGGGATCGAACCCAGGTCTCCTGCATTGCAGGCCGATTCTTTACCAGCTGAGCCACAGGGAAAGCCCATACTAGGTGCTCAGCATAAACTGACCAAACTTGACTAGTCTACATGCATGGCCTCTGGTACAAACTTTCAGCAGCTATCCTAAAACAAAGCTAACCAAAGCCTATGCACCGTCTTGGCAGTTTCTCCAGAAACTGGGATGCATTTTAGTTTTGACACTTGCAGAGTCACTGTTGATTTTAATCATCATTCCTATCATTGCTTGATTAGACAATACACCTAACAGTCCTTGAAGCCCAAGGATGTTATTTTGTTTTCTGACAGTTCAGGTCCTCTGCTCTAAGTCTCTTTCAGACTAGAGCTTTTAGGCATTTCATGACTCACTAATATCTAAAACAGATGGTAGGCAGGGAACATGACAAGAACTGATCTTCAAGCCAGCCTATTTGTTAGGAGGTCTGGTAAATAGGTTTTATGAAGAGATTAACTAACTTTTCAGTGGATCAAAAGAAGGGGTTTGAATTAACTGGGAATTTATGTCTATGTATGCTGCAGGCAATCACTACATATAAGAGGAAGTAGGGCAGTCACATTACTATTTCATATTCGATAATGATATGCCTTAGAAAAGGACTTCCCTGGTAGCTTAGTCAGTTAAGAGACTGCCTGCAATGCAGGAGACCCAGGTTCAATCCCTGGGTTGGAATACCCCCTGGAGAGGGAAATGGCAACCCACTACAGTATTCTTGCCTGGAGAAGCCCAGCAGGCTACGGCCAATGGAATCACAGAGTCGGACAGGACTGAGCCACTAACACTATTGTAACACTATGGCTTAGAAAATTCAGTAAGATTTAAAACCCTCTTATTGCCATATCATCCTTTCTGTGAAAATAAAGATTCAATGTTTAGAAGCATATTTGCTTATTTGAGAATCAAGTATTAATTTATACAGTGAACTATACAAATACCTGAGGTCAGACTTTCACAAATGTCTTCTATTTCTTCTATTATGTTTCTACAAGCACTTTCCTTTTTAGCTTTATATTCTCTTTGAATCCTCTATAATAACTGAAAAGTAACTGTTGGGCCTTAGAATAAAAGTTAAATAATTATATGTTCGTTCATAAGTTGAACTGGTTCCAGAGTTTGGTTCAACAAATTAAACCTCACCTAAGTGATTTAAACAAGGACTAACCCAACCCAACTTATGACTTTAATTTGACCTGAAGCAAAGTCAATGCTCTGTTTGAGAACTTGGCCTCAAATAAAAGCCAAAAAAATACCAATATTCAAATCTGGTTAGTCCATCATTATGTAACAAGCTTTACTCATCCAGTAGGTCCTTTTATGACATGACTTGTTCAAATTGAAGTTTTTATATTATAATATGGGTGTGTTACATGAGATCACGCTGTAAAAACTCCTTGGTTATAAATCCTATTTTTCCTCCTAATATGCATTTAAAGGTTTCCGACAGCTTTCTGAACACCTATGCCAACTGATACTCTCCCTCATGACAGGCCATGAACAGGCAAAGCAGAGAAGATCTATATTCAGACAGCAGTTCTTCAGTTCACCGAAGCAGCAGAATCATATAAACAATTTCATGTGCTATTAAGACCTTACCTAAAATAACAATGCACTACTACTATTGACCAAGGGTTGCCAACACCTGCTCTCAAGCAAGGAACCTGAGTGATGTACAGGATGATAAGTTGAGAGGTGAATAACAGAGTCACATCCATCACCATACCCAACGAGGTGAAACCAGCCGGAAGCTGCAGTTCATCCTCTAAGTAGAGGTCCACTCTGCTTGCCATCAGCTAGATAAATGGACTGGGAGATGCAACAGTAGAAGGAGAGGGAAGGCTCCGGGAAAAGAAAACGCTAATAATAATAATACTAGGAAAAATAGGTCACTGGCCAATGATATCCCTATGGCATCTAAAAGAAGAAACAAAATCCATCTGGTACTGAGGCAGGGCTTTTAGATTTTTTTTCAGAATGCCTTCACATCTATTCTATTATTTAAATCTTATAACATCCGTATCAGGGGAGACACATCTTTCAGAACTTTGTTGTTAAGTCTCGCTAACACCATTTAAAAGGTATGAACTCTGAGCCCTTGGATATGTTGTATGACTTGCCCAATACAGTAAACTGATGTCAGAGAATTGGGGGTCCTGGCTACCAACTTGAAACTTTTTTCTTTATAAATGGAAGCAAGTGATGACCAAGCAAGTTGGTTGGGACAGGGGAGGGAGGCTCAAGAGGGATGGCATATATATATTTATATATAAAATTATGACAGATTTGCACTGCTGATGGCAGAAACCAACACAACTGTAAAGCAATTATTATCCAATTAAAAACAGATTATAGGACTTTAGTTTGTTAGCCTCTGTTCCAGACATCTAGGAAATATCAGCAGTCATCCTTTTGTGTCCTATGGGTCATAGCCCACACACAGAAACCTTGCTTACAAAATGTGGGGTGTACATCTCCCAAGAGCAAAAGATCTGAACAATAAGAAGGAATTTAAACATAAAATTCAAAACCAAACAAAAAAAAATGGAAGCAAGAACATCATCATAGAAGCTGCCTTGATAGTCAAAAAAAACTTTCCCTTATAATCCCTAAGAAATTCTGGGGGAAATGTGACAAACATATAGTAAACTTTCACTTAAATGAACTTGCAAAAAGTTAAATGATCTTGGGCAGGACATAAGGAATAAACAGAACCAAAGCTGGAAGCACATGAGCTCATTACCCTGCACGGAGAAGCCACACTCCAGGGGCTTGGGACAGAACACTTGCTCTGGGATGGAAGGTGAGGTGGAGAACTGAACCTGGAAGACCTAGAAAGCAGTCTTGAAGAAAGATTCCTAAAGAACAATGGTGGGCTCCAGAAAAAGCTAAACACTCCCTGGGCAGATGGCAAAGTAATGCCTTGGCCTAGATTCTTGGTGGAAGAAGAAAAGTGTCTCCACTGAGCATGTGTATCCCGAGTCTGCCCTCCTGTGGTTTCAGGATTTGAAGAATATTGGAGTGGATTGCCATTTCCTACCCCAGGGAATCTTCCCAA